AGGCGGCCAGGTCCTGCCGGCAGGCTGGCTGCCCAGTGTCCCCTGCCTGTGGGCACAGGTGGCAGGTGTACTCTGGGGGTGGGCTCAGCAGGTGGAGGTCTGCTTGCGGTAGAGCTGGATCAGTGGCACCAGGCACTCGGGCAGTCCCGTCTGCAGCAGAAAGGGGTGGTCCAGGAGCTCCTGGGCCGTGGCTCTCTCTTGGGGATCCCGCACCAGCATCCGCTCCAAGAAGTCTCTCAGCACCGGGGAGGGGCACAGGTGGCAGGTGTACTCTGGGGGTGGGCTCAGCAGGTGGAGGTCTGCTTGCGGTAGAGCTGGATCAGTGGCACCAGGCACTCGGGCAGTCCCGTCTGCAGCAGAAAGGGGTGGTCCAGGAGCTCCTGGGCCGTGGCTCTCTCTTGGGGATCCCGCACCAGCATCCGCTCCAAGAAGTCTCTCAGCACCGGGGAGACCTGTGAAGACAGAGCAGCAAGTGGAAGCCACAGCTCGCAATCACTTTGGGGTGACCTGACTGCCTGTCCCCTATTGTTTGAAAGCCTGGAATTCTCTGACTTCTTACTTCCTGGTTCCTCCAAGGCTCAGTCGTTTCTGGATGGTCAGGTAGGTAAGGTCAGCACCAGTACCGAAAGTGACCAGTCTGACTGTAGCGGGAGCTGCTGACCGGTGGGATTTGGGATGGCGGAACTCCGGGAAGTGGGGTTCCAGAATACAACCCCCACCCCCAAGCCCCGAGCTTTCAGGCTCCGGGGAAGGCGCACATGACTGCATCAGCACTCCACCCCTGCGTTTGTTCCTGGTCTCGGGCAACCTGCAGTTCTCTAGGTCTCCGTTTTCTCATCTGCAAAATGGGATGAAATATGCTTGTCTTGTGTGCCACAAAGGGCTTTCGTGGAGATAAGAAAAAGTTCCGGGCTAAGGAAGTGCTTTGAAAAGTAGGAAAGAACAAGGTGGGACCCGAAAAAGAAGATTGCTTTGTTGCTCTAAACCGGAGAGCCTGAAGCAAGGCTTGTCTTAGTTCATCTGGAGGAAATATCTTGGGGGTGAGGCTGTGCTAGGGCTGCTACAGAAGGCGACATCATCTGGAGGAGTAGCCGGTTGGAGATCTCTCTCTGCTACCCTGGGGTCAGCAGTGCGGGCTCCAAGGACCCCTTGTGTCAGATGTTTCCCGTGAGTCTTCTCCATCTGTGGTGGGGCCACAGATCTCGTCTGCCACTTAGACTGGGCTTCAGCCCTCTGCCACATTTCTTGCTGTGGCCACCAGGTGGCAGTGCCACTCAGCAGCCCTGCGCTGACCTCCCAGCAGGGGGTGTCTACCATAAAGCCTGCAGGGTTTGGGGTGGATTAGCAGAAAAGGGTTAGATATGTACACATATGAAGAGACTTCCCAAAGCTCGTGGAAAATAGAAAGTATGAATTGTTTTGCTGCAAACATTTTTTGAATCCATGCCTAGTTATTTTTCCATAATACACAGTTTTGGTGAACTTTTTGAAGACTCCTCATCCATATGTACTAGTTCTAAGGAGAGGGCTGTGGCCCACCTGTGGCCCAGCTGTGGCCGGGCTGTGCAGTGGTGGAAGACAGGTTGATGTGCTGAGATAGGAATACTGTCATGGTTTGGGTCCCCTGACTAGAGGGTCTGTGTTCAGTCTCTGCAACCCCCACCCCTCCGGGGACAGCAGGGGTTCCTGGAATCTGTGCTTCCCTGCTCAGCGGACTCTCTGGGCCCTGTCAAGTGCCTGCCAAGGATCGATTCTGCTGCGGGTGGAGACTTGTTGGAATGCACACGGGTGTCAGTGCACACATGCGTCTCCACACCCAGAAGCAGAGCTGGTGTGCAGAGAGAGGTGCCTTTTCCAGGAGCCTAGACCCTTCCACTTCTGTGAAAGGGGGAGGCTGTGGCTGACTAGGAGCCCAGGCTCCAGGCCCCTCGCTGCAGGAGGGAGGAGTCTGCAAGGCCGGACCTTTGCACCGACTGACCTTGTGAGAGTTTCTCAGCCTGGGTGGGGCGCTGTCTCGGAGCCTCTTCATGGCTTGCACTGGGGAGTCGCTGAAGTAGGGAGGCTCCCCATCCACCATCTCAATCACCATGATGCCCAGAGACCAGATATCCACCTGTAGGAGGAGAATGCCCCTGACCCCACTGGCCTCTGGATAGCAGCGTGCTGAGGGGGGAGGGGAGCAGCTGGCCCCAGCTCTCCAGGTGAGTCAGCCTCTTTCTTCCCTCTGGTCACCTGCCTTGTAGTCAGTCACTTCCCGAAAGACTGACCACAACTGTAGGGTCACTCTGAGAAAGGCCATCATGAAGCCTGGCCACACCCCCTGTGCCCTCGACCTGGGGGGAGCATTTGCAGGACCCGCTCCTGGCAGCAAGGCACAAGTGCCAGCAGCCTTATCAAAGGGGGGCAGACAGCCCAGCCACTGAGGTGGCGCTGTAACCGAGTGCCCTGCACAGCTGGAAGCCACATGGCCAACTGCAGGTTCGAATCCCCAGGTCTGCTTGAAAATACTCATGGCACATGTGCACATGGGCACCTGGGATCCTGAGTGGCTGGAGGGCTATGGAGGGGGATTGCGGTGTGATAAGAACTCATTGCCTTTGTATGCACACACACTGGCATACAAAAGGGCGACCAGGGTACTGATGAGGTGGGAATCTGAGAACTAGGGCAATTTTTTTTTTTTTTGAGAGATTTTCACTGTAGGGCGCGTGCGCTCACCAGACAGACAGAGAGAGACATAGAGACAGAAAGCGAGAAATCACCCCCCAGGGGGGATGGTCACGCCGCAGTCCCTTCTCCTCCATTCTCCTCTCGGGATCTTGGGCACGCACGCACACGCGCCCGGCGTGAGTTTTAAGCCACCGGGTCCGGGACACGAACCGCGGTCGACTACGTGGGAATCCAGCGACATAGCCATTATGCTAACTGCTGGTTCCCAGAACTAGGGCAATTTTTGATAGGTGATCCAGAGGGTACACGGGAAGAGCTATGTGTCCCCAAGCCTCTTCTGGGAGACCTGGGGGATGGAGGGTTACCTCGGTGGCATACAGAGACCTGGAGATCACTTCCGGAGCCATCCAGTAGGGAGTTCCCACTAGTGATTTCCTCTTAGGGACATCTTTGCTGATCTGAGCACAGAATCCGAAGTCTGAGAGCTTCACCTGTGTGAGAGGGCTGTGAGTGCTGGGCCAGGGGGCGGAGAGGTGCTGGGAGCAGGGAGGGGGTGTGGCTGTGCCTACCCTGCCATCGAGGGTCAGAAGAATGGAGTCACTTTTGATGTCCCGGTGGATGACACCCTGGGCGTGTAGGTAAGCCAGGGCCTGCAGCACAGCCTCACACACAGTGGCAATCTGCTCCTCGTTCAGCCTGGACAGGGAAGGCAGGACCACCGACAGAAGAGAAAGTTAGCTTGGCAGGGCTGCAGGACAGGTGGGGTGGAGGAGTGCTTAGGACCAGGCCCCAGGGCGGCCGAGCAGAGTTCGGCAGCCCAGTCAGGCCACAGCCCTGCTGGAAACTGGAGCCACCCTTCTCTCCCCCAGCCCCTGAGGCCTTGGTCTCAGGGATCCCACATAGGCAGGGGGCCCCAGGACGATCTGACAGGCACCCCAAGGCTTCAGGGACAGATGCCCCTGCCAGGGCAATGGTGGGCCCAGCCCTCCCGGCTGCCCACCTGACTTGGGAGACGATGTCTGTGAGGGCCCCGCCCTGCAGGAACTCCATAAGCACCCACAGCTCCTCACCCACCAGGTAGCTCTTGTACATCTCCACCACGTTGAGGTGCTGGTAGTCCCGCATGATCACCACCTGCGGCAGGAGGAGGCCTGAGAGCCTGGTCCGGTGCCCTCAGCCGCCCACCCCATTGCTTCTGCTTGCAGAAGTCAGCCAGGCTGCACATGCTGCCTGTCCCCCGTGCCCCGCCGCCCTGCCCTGTCCTCCCACCTCGTTAAAGAGCAGCTCCCTGCGCTGCTGCTTCCTGAGGTCCATCATCTTGACAGCCACCTGGCGGCCCGAGTGCTTCTCCCGGGCCAGGCAGACGATGCCCGTGGAGCCCTCGCCAATCTTCACGTAGCTGTCCAGCAGCAGCCGGGGGTCGCCCTGGTCCACCACCATCCTGAGCGCAGCCTTGAACTGCTCGTGTGTCACGACGCCCGTGTCCTCGCCAGTCAGGCCCCCCCTAGCCACTGCAGGGTCCTGGGGCAGGTACAGGTTGCTGGTGCTGATCTGGGCATGCCGGGTCCGGGGGGAGCCTGCCGGGGAAGACCGGCCTGGGAGCGGGCCAGTGGCTGGGGCTGTGCGGAGGGACTTCTGGGGACTGCTGGTATCTGAAGTGGTCAGAGGGCTGAAGGTCCCCACAGGCTGATCTGAGGGCAAGGACTGGGCCTTGGCCACCAGCGTCGGAGGAGAGTCTTTCTGCGGAGGTCGGAAAGAGGAGTGGGGCTGCAAGGACAGAGAGAAACAGGGCTGTGGCTGTGGGCGTGTTTGGAACAACCTTCCCAGAGGCAGGGGGTGTTTGCCTGACCTCTGGACCCTGGTGGGTTCAGGCGGGGCGTCAGACAGAATTGGGCAGATGCTATGAGCAAAGATCGTCAAGTGGGGCTGAATCCAGCCGCGACCCTGCTCAGGAAGCCAGCCCCCAGCCCCCAGCGCTGCACGTTGAGCCTGGCTAGGAGCCCCGGCTCCAGGCTGAACAGCAGCTCTGTACGTTCCCGTGGCTGCGGCTGCGGAGAAAGCTGCGTCCCTGGGGGCCTGGTGCTGGGTATTTCTTCCATGGTAATTGACAGCCAGACCCCAGGGAGGCCACTGCCAGGCAGTCTTCCCTTTGGGCTGTGGGGCTTGGTGGAGAATCTGGGTCAGAGGTATTCTTCACTCCCAAGGCTCCCCTGCCCATGGCCGCTGTGGCTGGAAGAGGCCCTGGGCAGCGGGGTGGGGTGGACAGCGGGGCAGCTGTGACTCCACTCCTAGAACCAGGGCCAGGAAGCCACAGCGGGGGCCTGTGCCTATGGCAGAGAGCGTTGTCCCAGACGGAGGACCACAGAGCTGTGTCGCCATCTCAGGTGTCCCTCTTGGGCTGGAATCAGGAGAGCATGTCTAGCCTTGAGGCTGGGAGTGGGGGCGTGGTCTAAGGACTCCTCAAAGCAGCCCCGTCTCTTCCTCCCAGTCCCCTTCTTCCTCCTTACCAAGGACCTTGCGCTCAGCAAGGGAGAGAAAGCAGAGGGCCTGTCTTCATGGCTTCTAGAAGGTGGAGCTGAGAGGCAGCCTGGGCCCCCAGTGAGCCCCGCCCAGGCCCACAAGGGGAAGCCTTCAAGACTCCTTGGCCTTCCTGTCCAAAGCCTCCTGTTATCCCTGGTAGAAGAGGGGTCCATCCTGAAGTTTCCCCCAAGAGTTGGTGATGTGCACTATGACCCCTTCCAGGGGCTGCTGAGAGACCTTCTTGGAACTTCTCCAAACCTATCACATGGAGAGCTGTCTAGGGGTCTGCAGACTTCCAGGAAACTACCTTGAGCACTCAGCTTGGGCTGGGCTGCTTGCTCAGAAACCCCAAATTGGGGCCTTTGGCCCTGCCAGGTCCAGCGATGCTCTTCAAACTCCAGGCCTTGGGGCTCCCGCCCTCCAGTTCAGTTGCTAGCCTTGCCTGGGGTTGACCATGTACACAGATGCCCCTGACAGTCAAGAGCCACCCCTACCCCACCTACCTGTGCCAGCCTCTGTGCCTGGCTCAGGTGTGACCTTCACAGGGGAGGTGCCAGAAGGCTGCCAGACTGCTAGGACCAACTGCATATCTGGTGAGCATTATGGACAGTGACTAGGTTCTCTCGTCTTTGCCAGCACCTGGCTCTTGCCCACTGCTCCCTCCTCTGTGAGGTGGAACAGCAGGACCTCTGGACATCAGGACCTGGGCTCCAGTCTGGTCTGCTCTGCCCTGTGGTGGGCCCTAGGCAAGTCATAAGCCCCAGCCTCCTCTGTAAAGAGGGGGCTGTGCGCACTGAGCTGGGAGCTGGGTAAACTGCAGATTTGTAGGCCTGGGAGACTGAGTCAGAGTTCCCTGGAGTTGATTCCACATTTTAGCAAAATGCCTGGGTTTCAATGTAGGAGGTCCACGGACCACACCTTGAAAAGCTCTGGACTGGGACCAGCAGTTGGCGTAATGGCTATGTCACTGGGCTTCCATGTAGTTGACCACGGTTCAAGTCCTGGACCCAGTGGCTTAAACTCACACCAGGTGCGTGCGTGTGTGCCCAAGATCCTGAGAGGAGAATGGAGGAGAAGGGACTGCAGCGTGGCCATCCCCCCTGGGGGGTGATTTCTCGCTTTCTGTCTCTCTGTCTCTCTCTGCCTTTCTGGGGAGCGCACGTGCCCTATAGCAAAAACCTCTCCAAAAAAAAAAGCTGTGACTGCTTGGGCTCAGGGAGCTCTGGAGCTCTGGGAGGGAGCACAGCCACAGCTGAGGCTGTGAGGCCTTGTCCTGGGTACAGAAGTGCCATGAAATGTCCGGGCAGGACTGGGCAGGAGTAGGGCAGGGTTCACGCCATCACTCAGCATCGAGCTGCCCACAAGGCCCTGTAACAAGGCTCGGGGCACTGAGGAGACGCCCGCTAGCCTGCAAGGCCGGGTCTCAATGCAGACAGCTCGCTGTCGGAGCAAGCTGTCCAGGGTGGGGCAGACCTGTAAAGTCCCTCATGAGGCTACACGTGACTCTTTGGTCCTGCTCCACTCTGGAGTTCCCAAGGAAGGCTGGACGAAAACTGCTTTCACCTCTGGGCTGGGCACTCCTGCACAGCTCTCTGTGCTGTGGGCACGGGCGGGGCTGGGGGAGGCAGCGCCCTGTGGGTGTGTGGGCACGGGCGGGGCTGGGGGAGGCAGCCAGGTGGAGGGGGTGAGCACTGGGGTTCCTCCCATGCCTGCTGCCCAGGCCCCAGTGGAGACATTGCTGCCGCTGCTAGCTGAGCTGCGGGGGGAGCTCATGGAGGCCTGGGGCAAGAGGGAGCACATCGTGGTCCGGGAAGTGGACTGGGTGAGGGCGGCACCTGGCTGCCTGTCTCCACAGGGAGGAAGCTTTGCTTACTGTAACCACAGCAAGGACCAGGTAGAACCTGAGCCACGCCAGGAGAGGGGAAGGGGGACGCGGTGATGGAACTAATTACTTGTTACAGGCTCTGGGTTAATTCTGGAGTACCCGAGCGGCTGAGACCTCTCGGGAAGGACTGCACTAGAACAGTCATGCACGCGGTGGCAGGAGGTGTTTAGCTGTCCCTCCCCGGCCCCGGTGTTCCAGTGGTGAGATTGGGGGACTGCACCGTGCGTAGCCTAAAGGTAGAGGCCTTGCCAGACAGTTTTAAAATAACACAGCCACTGTCTGAGGGCCAGCCACGCTGACAACTGCCACACACGCCTCGCTTTCTTCTCACTCACTCATAGGCACTAGTCGCCGGAGCCAGTGTTAGTACCAGCCTGTGTACAAGGACATGGGCTCAGACAGGTTAAGCGACTTCCCGGAGTCCCTCAGTAGTAAGGGGCAGAGCCATATTTCAGCCCTGGCCAACCTATGTGGACCCTGTCGATGCCTATGCTGCGGTCCTATTGGTACCACATGTCCTTGGTGTCTAGCAGGTGTCCAGTACACAGTAGGTGCTTAACCAGTGTTTGTCCTTTCGGTTCTACTTTAAACCACCTCTAAACACCCCAGTCTCCTAGCAGTCTCTCAGCTCTTTGGCCTCTCTGTTCCCACTCACGGTCATCCTTTGCTCTTTAGTCAACGTGAATGAATTCAGGCTGCACTGCCTGGGGCTGAGCGCAGACCCTCCCGCAGTGTGCCTGGCATACCGGGCATGGTGGGCTCACCTGTGAGGGGGCCAGTGCATGGGCTGTGGCGACGAGAGCTGCTGTGATCCTTGGGAGCTGCTGTGGCACGCACCCAGTACAGAGGGCTGGTATGGGCGTGGGAGGAGGGCTGATGCTCCAGCTATGCCAGGGTTTGCCTACAGTAGTTGTTCTCCACTGGGGAGATTCTGCTCACCAAGGAACACTTGGCACTGTGTAGAGGTGTCGATGACAGCAACTGGGGGTGTTACTGACATCTGGTGGGTGGAGGCCAGGGTGCTACCACAATGCACAGGAACGCCCACAACAAAGGACTCTCTGACCCGAATGTCAATAGTGTGGAGGGTGAGAGCAGCTCGGGGAAGCCTTCGCCCTGCCTTCTAGAGCATGGCCTTGGAGCATTTATCTAGAAAACTATGCCCCAGGTGTCTAGACGGAAACCGTCCCTGGAGGGAACTGTGGCGTCTCCGAGCTCAAGGTGACCACCAGCTGTTTCTCTGGTAGGGGGACACCCCAGCGTGCCCAGCACCACAGGCCCACAGTAGGGACTCAGTAAAGTATGCAGGGGTGGGCAGGCCTGTCCCCTACTGTGGAGTGCCAACAGCAGCTCAGAAAGATCCATGTTAGTGCCCAACCCCGTGTTGACACGCCCTCGCTCTAGCCCCCCCCAAGCCCACCCAGCAGGACCCCGAAGAGGCCAGAGAGGAATCAGACTCCACTTCTCACCTCTCATGGTGAGCTCACCCTGCTCCCATCGTAGTGTTCTGGGGATGTCTCCCCAGGGGGACAATCTTCCAGAGACCCCTCAGCTCAGACACTGATGTGCCTTACTCGGTCACATGAAGCCACATCCCATGGAGGACCCCAGACCACTTGTCCTTTGTCCCAGTGGGGACTGGAGTACATGAAACCCAGAAGCTTCCTTGGGAGCCTTGGCTGGCAGTGGCCCAAGAGGTTGTAGGTCCAAGCCTGCCTCCCTGAGCTCCAGAGAACCATGGCCTACAGAGGAGGGGGATCCAGGCTTGTTCTTGAAGCCCTCCCAGGATGGAGAGGAAGCCCTGTTGCTCATACCACTGTCCGCAGCTGGTTTTAGGCCCGACTTCCACCCTGCTGCTGTAGCCTAAGCTCACTTCTGCCTGTCCCTCAGCAGGAGCTAGCGGACACACGGCTGCAGTGGCCATAACGCCTTCATCAGCGCGAGCCGTGAGGGCCCTGACAGAATGTGCAGTCCCGAGCCAGCACCCTCCTCCCCTCTCTGAGGCACTCATGACACCTGAGGGCTGTCTCCCCCTGTCTGAGTCGGTCTTCTCATCTACCAAACCAGAAAGGACACCACTGTCACGATGGGCAGGAGGTCACAGGCACATGAGAAACAACGACAGGCTCCAATCTGCCTGCCAAGAAATGTCGCCAACAGGGCTCCCTTCCGTCTCCCTACAAGAACGTGCGCCTGAGGCTGGCCCGCATGCCAAGTCGGCTCGCTCGCCATTCTTGGTGTTCTCATATGGCACACGCACTTGAGAATGGGTAATTACAGAAATGTGAAATGAACAACTGCTACCCAAAAAAAGAGGAAAAAAAAAAAAAAGGAAGGGAGAGAGCTAGAGAAAGGATCAGCACTCACGTTGTGGCTGCCATGGGGACAGGCAGTTGGGGGGCCTCTCTGCAAGTCCTCAGGGAAGTGCTGGGCAAATGAGGGGCGGAGGCAAATGTTCTAAGAGGAAGGAGGTAGGGAGCCTGCCCCCAGGCTGGCACACCCATCTCCACTGCTTCTGGGGCCTGTTGCTGGGCACCAGGGGGCAGGGAGGGTAAAAGAAGCTTTTCCAGGGGGTATCTGCCTCCCAGTGTGGTTCAACTGGACCCCAGAGGGTGGGAGGGTAAAGTGAGACGAGCCCTAAGTCCCCTGGAGCACCCTGCCTGGGCTGTGCAGCATGACCTGGCTAGGAATCTCAGACTCGCACATGCTAAGCCTTTGCAGGACATGGCTCGACAGGTCCAGGGTAGACTCAGCTGGGGCTGAGCTGGTTTCTTATCTTGGTCTTCACATCCTGCCCACCTCAACCCTGTGAGTGGAGAAGGCAAGGCAGGACCTGTGTCCCTGACCCGATACGGCAGTGGACGCCCATGACCCTGCTCCCTCCCCGCTGAGAGCGGGCCCCAGGAGCTAGCCTACCTTGCTCTGTGCTGGAGGGCCTGGCTTGCTGCTGCTCAGAGGGGCTGCGCTCTGAGGGGCTGCGGCAGGAGTGGACAGGAACATACTTCGGAACAGCCTGCGCTTCAGGCTGCTCTCCTGCGTCTTCGGGCTAGGGCTGCCTTCCCCACCAGGCCTGCCTGCGGCTGAGCCCACGAGGCAGGACTGTGGCCGGGCCTCCTCAGAGCCATGCTTGGCAGCCTTCATCCCCTTCCTCCCGGCGGCCGTGGGGGGTGAGCTGCCAGGTGGGGAACTCTGCAGGCAGGGGCCCAGCTGCAGGCAGCGCTGCGTGGCACCCTGAAACTCGGCGGGGCCCAAGGACTGTGCCTTCATGGCCAGCCCATTGGGCAGGACCCGTGGGCTCTGTGGCTCAGGCCACGGCATCTGCCGGTGGCCTGCTGGGGTGCCCCCGTTGCTGCTGAGGTAGAGGCTGTGGGGGTCAGTGCGCTCAGACTGGGGGCTCTGGAGGTACATATCCGGGTCAGCGGCCCAGTGCTCGTCTCCTAGCAACCCCAGGGACTGTGCCCGCCTCCGGCTGGTGGGGCTGCGGCCACGCAGGGTATTAGAACTAATGACCGACAACTTCTGGATGTCGTTGAGCAACCCCGAGATGTAGCCATCCATGGGCACCGAGCTGCCCCGCACCACTGTCTGCAAGAGGAGGAGAAAAGAGCGTGATGAGCAGCCTACTCATGGCCAGAGGGGTGGCCCGGAGACCAGCATCAAAGTGTCCTAGTTGGGGTGAGGGACATCTAAGGAGCTTCCTTGTTGGAGCAGCCACCCTTCACTCATTTTGTAATTTCCCAGGGCCCACCATGTGTCAGGCCTGCGTCTGAGTGACTGTGGGGCCCAGACCAGCATACAAGTGGGTGGCCAGCTGGGCCTGGGAGCTGAACCCCAGCAGGGTTCCCTTTAGCTCTGCCTGTGGCATTTGAGAGGCTAGCAGGGCCAGCCAAAGAGGCAGGGGCCC